GTCAAACACGGCCTCGCGGGTTCGAACCACCGCTACTATTTTTATCTATTCTCATATCCGACGGCAATCAACGGCATGGTCTCATTGCGGCTGACAAAAAAGAAAACATAGAGTAACGCTTTTCCCGGCGGGGCTCTTCAATTATCGTCGGAGCGAGAGAACGCTCTCATATCAGAATGCACAGTGATGAACAACCGAAGCCATCTCCGAGTAGCTACTCCCTTTTGTTTAGTTAACCGAATATTTGCTCAACCATGCGCATGTGTCGTGATAAGAGGTGATCCACGAGCAGCAGCACGCGCGAGTCAATGCACATCGTAGATTTTCAGGGCAATCAGCCGCGTGCTTGGTTTGCGATATAAAATTTTAATGGTCTTCTGTTTGTATATTTATTATTAGTAACTTTTTACAGCAAGTTGTAATAACTAAGAAAAGAGGATAAAAAATTTTGTATATTTTTTTATTTTACAACAGTTGACTCCAAATATTATAGATTTGTTTTATTTAATTAGTTTTTTCCAATTAAAAAATATTATTACATTTGGATTAACACAAATACCACTTTACAATAAATTATTATGATTTAAAAAAATAAAATTGCAGTAAATAGATAAATAAAAATGGAGTAACTTTTTTTCCAATGTTTTCTATTTTATCTTTCTTAAATACAAATAATCCTTAATTAATATAAAATTATTATATTCAGTTATGTAACGTTAATTAACATAATTAATATAAAATTATTATATTCAGTTATGTAACGTTATTAATATTATTATTATATATCAAATTTAATATTAGCTAATACGATAAATCAGAATTATTAGTGAAAACACCAAAAACAGAAATATGATACTTACACGGCAAAAGTTAGGAATCATGGAACAATAGAGAAAGACATATGAGAGTTAACACAAAAGAAAAGTTCAACTAAAAAATATCAAAAACTATGAGAGTTTTATGCATCCCAAGATGATTATCTTTATGAAACGTTAACAGAACAATTCTAATCGACTGCGTATATTATTGCGCAAGGTTTCTCTTGACTGAAAGCACGAAGGATTCGATTGCTGGAAGGCATATAGAGACCAAATTTAAATTTTCCCCATTTTTCTGCTTTTCCGATTTGCAGTTTCCAAATCATCGATTGGAAGCTATCGTGTGGCGATTAGAGAATTTATATAAAAAATAATAGACTGCAACAATTCCCACAAATAATATCTCGATATCCTGATATAATTGAGCAAAGCTAAGATAACATGATGGTCCAGAGCAGTGTCCCGAATGTCTGTATACTACATCTATGCTATTCATTGCTATCATTGATCATATTCGACCGACGCCACACGTACCTCCTCAGTCGCATCCTGATTGTGTGCACCAGTAGCTCTTGCCGGTGCCTCTCTCACAGTCTCCTACACTCCCGTCCACCCTCTCGCGCCACTTTTCTCTGCAAACCCGGCCAAATCGACAGCGACAATCAAGACGCTGATAATACGTTCTCTACGCCTATCGTCGTCTTCGTCGTTGTGATTTTTCCATATGACGGCGTCTTAACGTCTTACATATTTTCCTCCCTCTGTTAAGAGATGCACTCGAGACGTATTCGTGAAAGCACACTGCCGTGAACACGCGCTTATATTCGTACTTTCGCTCGACCCCGACCGGGACTTCTACCACTACTGATAGAGAAATCCGTTTCTCTCCCTCGGCCCGGGCGTCGAAGCGTCGATACGACGACGACGACGCTTGCGCGCCGCCCCCAATCCACCCTTTCCCACCCGGGCATTTTCGTGGCGCATTCGAGGCTGCGACCCTGCCGTCGCAATGCACGAACACCGTCATCATAGGCCACAGCGAATCCGCTCGCACTCTCGCTGCTGCAAGATCATGACGATTTCAGGGTTGTCAAATGCGCTGAACGGAAAAAGTTGCTGATCATTGGATTGATATTCTCTGTTCTCGACCAAATGTCTTATAACGTCTTTTTTATCGATTCTCGGTTCCGTGACTCGATTCTCGCCACCTTGACACTCCGTTCCACTGCATGTTAAAGATTTATAAAGTTTATCAGATTTCTGAAATTAAATTATAATACAAAACGTCTCAGACTTATACTAGTATATTTTTCTACGGATGAATTGTCTTAAAGAATCTTAATTGTTATTACTAGAATTGAAAGCTTGAACATAATTATGTAATATCCTAATTTTATCAAATGATTCGTTTTATGGTACCATGTAATCAAAGTAATGTAATGTCAATACAAAATATCGAAATAGGTTTCCATGTCTATTTCAAGTAGAATGGTATAGAAATTGACAGGGAATCGATAAGTTACAGTTGGTTAACTTAGACGATCGCCGATCGGTGAGACTCACTATAATTAAAATCTCTTTCTGTACTTGTAGTTGAAATATTTAATATTTATCAGGATTGTAGTATTTAGACCGCTAAAGTAATTAAATTTCACTTTATTTTATTCCATGATCAAAAATATATATAGTAAAATTATTTTTTTATTAATTTTGAATATTACATTGAATTGTAAGTTTTATATTAGTATTTAATAGTAGAGTAAAATGCTATGACTACATATACATGTTCATCCGCAAGAAATATAGGTCACTGTATCGACACAGTGACCTATATTTTTTGTTAGTATACATATATTATAACCATGTTACTATATAATTATAATTAAAAAATTTAATTAAATTAATCAGTTCAAGCAAAGAAATTGTGTTTTTTAATCTTTATTAATTCGCAAAATTAATAAAAATTAAATACTAAGCAACAAAACGTTTTAAATAAATTCTATATACAATTATTTAATAAGATTATTTTTAATAAGACCTTTAACATTATTTACTATAAAATTACGGTTTTATTTGCAAATAAAAAAAGTGCTGATAATCTTATTTGAATATTTGTTTATTCAAGACAAATTAGTCCGTTCTATCGGCTATCATTAAACATGTGATGAAGTCTCCTCGTAATTTATTCGTCCTCTTGATTAAGCTAGAAAATCGCCATTCTCATGACTACGTACATTGTTAATTATCAAATAGAAATTTAAATTAGGTTTTCAGACATTTCATTAGAATTTTATTTGATGTCACAATAGTTATTTAAAAATAAAGCTGGAAAATCTCATGTTAATGTCGTTATTTTTGTGGAATTTAAATTAATTAATTTACTAATGATACACAATTTGAATTGTTAATTTGTCCAAATATAAATTTTTTTTGATGAAGTAAAAATAGTTCACTATTCATACGTATCTCTGTTATTGATTAACTCGTTACACTGATAATAACAAGATTTTCAAACATATAACAACATTTTATTTTCATGTATATTATAGAGACCATCAAGGGAACCGTCAAAGCCATCCCTCACCGATTTGGTGGGATTTGGATATGTATAGAACATCAAAAAGTATTAGATCTATTTATATTTTTTTTTGTCAGCGTATCTCTCAAGATTCAAGGGTTGAAATATTGCTTCAAAAAAATAGATTTTATTGTTTTCAGCAAATATCTCCGAAATTATATATGATATGAAATAAATGTATTATACAAGTTTCATGGCGTTTCGCTCTATAATTCTATATAATATTCTTTATTCATTAATTTTGCATGATTTAAACATTTTATATAAACAAAAAGAAAATAGAACACTAAATACCAAATTTATTCATGTATAATAATGCTATGTTTTTATACGATAAAATTTTTGAAAAAATTAGATAATATAGAAAACAAGTTATAGATGCCGCGCTGTAGATAAAGAGAGTTGCTCTTAATAATTAATATAATTTATATTTACAAATATCTTGTTGAATGTCTCGAATAACATGTAATAAGTTCGGCCCCGATGTCAGTAGCCTAGCTACTGAATGATTAAATTTGGCATAGTTACGTACCATTTTGCTCGACGATGCACACGTTCCATACGTTTGCTCATTCTGAAACCGCGGGCATTGTGCCGCTTAAATTGGCACATCTCTGATACGAAAGTTCTGCAGCATTTCATTGTTACTTAGGTTGTGCCAACGAGCGCTTTTCCGCGATACACCGGTTCGCGCGACAGCTTAGGGAAAGACGTTTTTAGACGTCCATCATTCTAATTAGACGAAAGCCACTTTTTCTTCACAAAAAAATTAGATTTAAGTTAAGTGACAGTTTAAAGAAAGAGAAGTATTATTAAATAAATGTTGAATTTTGTTTATACTTTTATTAATATTTAAATTGTATTATGCTAAATACGCAAATGCATGAATAATAATTCGTTTAAAATTTATAAAATTTTAATTAAGGCTAGAAATTTCAAACTGTTATTTTCTTGAAATGTTAACAAAAATATTTTTGGATTGATTAAAACATCCATGAAAGAAAGCATCTGGAAAAGCTAGGGCGCTCCACATAAACGCATTAAGCGTCCTAAACGCAGCCAGCTTTTATTGATCTGTGCTTGGTCGATAAAGAGATGAACGCAGCTAGAAATCCAAAACGCTAAGTGGCCTAATGACCTCTTTCCAAGATCTTGCATTTTGTTTCTAAATTATGTCAAAGACAAAAAAATAAAAAGACATAAAAAGAAAAACAAATAAAACTTTTTCTTATTAAGATTTCTATAAAAAAGAAAAATTTTTGTTGAAATAAAACTACAATTATTTGACTTCAGGCAAAACACACATTTACGTCATATAATTTCTGCATTACATTATGCAATAACAAAAACAGCAAATAGTCAAATCAAATATATTTTGGAATTACTTACAAATTCTGCGAAATACGTGCAAAGCGATTTTGCCAAAATTATTCTATTATAAAAAACACGAAAAATTGTCATAATGCGTAATTAACTATATATAAATTCTTTGTACAAATGATATTAAAAAGGAGAATTTTTTGTAAAAGGAATTTATGTTAAGAAGAATATATATCATATATTTGAAAAATTGTTTCTTTTTTAAAGTGAAATTATATGTTGACAATACAATGACAATTACAAGATTTATATACAGAGACAAAAACAGTATAGCTGAGTATTTGATAATTTCAGTGCGATACTAATGGCTTTCTTGAATGCTGCCATTTGGGATAGCGGTCTTGTTCGGATATTTTCCGTAGATTCTACCACTCCTGGTGACTCTGTAGTGGATCTGTGGTATCATGGACATATTGCTGGATACATGCGGACCGTCGCCGGTGCACAGTCGCTTCGCTCGCCGTATGCCAACAGTCTTATGCTTGTGCAGCTGAGCAAGGCTGTGTCTTTTTTGTTGCTTCAGAATCGTCTTCTGATTGATAGCTAGACCGGTAGTACGTCTTTTTAACAATTTTAGAGGTGAAATAGCTAAAATCGCTTTAGTAATACGACGTCGGCAACGCCACAACAGAACAGCCGTTGCGAACCAAGCAAACCATGGACCGGTTCTTGGATCCGGGGTTGGTTCCTTCGACCAGAGAAATAACATCTACGGATAAGTAAATAAGTAAATGTTTTTAAAGTTTTTAATACTAGGAAACACACATACACATACACACATTATCTTTATAGACACTTTAACAAAATTAATTATTGTAAAATGATATTGTATCATTAATAATATTCTGATTACCTTATCAAAGTAATGAGAAAAATTGATATTTAGAAAGTTAATTAAATGAAAGTCTCCCTTTTAAAAGCACTGAAGTCGCACCTGACTAATTAATTTTTCCTTAGGATAAATCTACAAGGTTCGATTATATAATTACAATCTATACATAAATGATGAAATATAATATTTTAATTATAAAATAAATAATGATTTTAATGATTTTATAATAACTACTAACTTTTACTATTTTTATATAAGAAAATGTTATTAAAATTATTTAACGAATATAATTAAATCAATTAATATTGTAGATAATTTTTTTAAACTGATTTATTAAGCTCTTATTAATAAAAAATATATATATATTGTGTATATATACATATATAAAATATTCTACATAATATTTTTTGCAATATATTATTTACTTGTGATATTTTGTTTAATTACATAATATAAAATAACCATGTTAAATAAGAATATTGATTCTGTAAAAACAACTCTTCTTATACTATAGAAAAATAACAAATAAATCTATTGAATAACAGCAATTATACGGTCTGTTTGCGTTGCTTAAAATTTCTAAAATATTTTGCATGCAAAGTATGATAAATAAAAACCATATATTTGGATGTTAAAAAGGAAGAAAGCAAAGATGTTGAGTGCAAATAGTGCAAACAACGCAAATAGATCTACGCTATAATTAAAATTAGAGCGAAAGTGACAACATGTAATGTCATAGCATTAATTTGATGTGTAATGTTGGATAAAAAAGTTTACGAATAATTGAGTATATTATTGATTTCTATGATATGATGACATAACGTGTTATTACAGTTAACACTTTATATTTTAATTTAGATTGATATTTTTTTAATTACTCATTACTAATATCTTGTACAATGAAAATTGTCTAAAGACAAATTACTAATGAAATAACATAGCGATATTTGGAAGTCGATAGGTAATTTGCGACTTCTTACTGATACTGGTTTCATGATCGCACGAGAAACCATCGTGCGGCCGGACGATCGATCTCCCGGCCATCGTAGCTTTTCAAGGCTGCACCTTGAGATCCACGTGTGGATCTCAGGTAATTCGCTTAGAGCCACTACGTCTCGAACACGTTCACTCTGTTGAGCAGCGTTTCGACTTTTATGGCTCCGCGACATCTCCGTCGTCGTCGTAACCTTCGCTCTCCCTTCTTTTCACCGGAGTGACCCATTTGGCAGAGACCTCCGGAGTAAATTTCGCATTGACCGCATGTTTTTGTTGTCAGGACTGACCTTATAGATCCACTCGCTCTGCCTGAAATTGGGGGGTGGGTCGACTATCCGAAACATAGAATTGCCGTAAACGCTTATTCGTAAATGATGGCGGTAGAATTTAGAATCTGGAATCACAAAAACAATTAATTGCAAAGTTAAATTGTTTTTAAATTATCTTTTAAAAAATTATTGTTTTATTTCAACGTTTAAGTTAACCTATTAAAGTACAAGAATACAGGAGAAACAAATTAGGGTTAATGTCTGAAAAAAGGAAATATAAAATAACGTAGATATTGACTAATATGTAAGTATTGACAGGCACATATTTATTCCAAAGAAAGAGAGAAAGAGAAATGAAACATTATGTTAGTAATACATAAATCAATATAAATCAATAATTTAATACAGTTACGTTAGTAACTGTAGCGGCTTAAATAGATACAAGAGTAAGGATTCAGTTCTTGACGAACATGAAATGCAAACTTCACACGAACAAAGAATAAGGAAACAATTTCTTGTTGGTAGAATAAACAGTACTGAACAGCTTCATGTTTCAGTTCTGGGTCGGAAGAACGCAGAATTAGCAAAAGATAGAGAAGCGTATATGTGTATGTTGACATGTGACGTGTAATGTTACACATTTAATACAAGCTGCACAGTAGAAAAATCAATGATGTCCGATGCATCAGGAAAATCAATGAAAAAATGTGAAGGAAGTCAAGTGTTATCGAAGAAGTATATTTGAGGTATTTCGCTATGATGTCAAGGCAAACTATATATTTCCGCAAGACGGAAAATACGATATTCCAAGCTCAAACACATAACGATGTCCTATAGATATATCATTCGTTAAAATATGCGGAGGTGGTTTATATGAAGAGACATTTCGAGGAAGCGCTTATTGAACCGGAAGGACATGTGATTCGCGTCTAAGTCCCACATGTAGTCTAGTAAATGTGCTTATCTGTTGCTGAACGTTTCTGATATAACATGTACAGTTTAGTTGGATATATACAGTGTGTCTCGAATGTTTTTGTCTAACTTTTATTATAGATTTTTCTTAGACTATTATGTAAAAAAATTTAGAAATTTATAAACCTATGCCTTTAAATATTTTTAACAATTTCATAAATTAAGCTATAATTAATAAAATGACAAAATAAAATGATAATAAATCGAGATTTTGTTATTTACGCAGCTATTTTTAAACTTTATTTGTAAAATTAAATTTTGAATTTTAATCGAGTGTTTACAATTCAGAAAATAAGACTTTAATTTTTATTTTTTTTATAAAAAATGAATTTGCTTTAAATAATGTAAAATGTTCATGAAAGAAAATGTTTTAGGCAAATGTAATGATAAATTGCATAATATATTATATCTCTAATGTACTTTCAATTAGACAAATAATAATAAATATATATTTACAAGTATACTGGAAAATTTTTAATTATATATAATAAAAAAAAAGTTAAGAATTATACGTTTTATAGTAATAATACAGTTATACATATATTTTGATATCTACAATTAGTCTAAATCTTCCACCTGATGTCTTCCGGTCTCCACCCTAAAAATTTGTATTCACTGCTGATGCAGTGACTCTCACATTCGTTCTTCGTGTCGTGATGACAGTTGGATAGCACGGGTAGGATTGTTACCAGTTATTAAAATGAGTGAGGATACCTAAACGATAATGAGCCTAACCAGGAAGCTGTCATCGACTCCGACGGCTCTTGACGATGGAAACTTTTCGTCCGACCGCGCGATGACCTATCACATCTTTTGAGCTTCCCGTGGATTTCCTTGAGGAAGAGATCGCGGCAAACTTGATAGTTTTGCTTACGCGGAAAAATTCGATCAAAAATACGAATAAACAGGCTACAAAAAGTTGTAAAATAACATATGAAGTGAAGTGGGAGAGCGCAAGAATTTAGACAAAGGATGGCGCCGCTCTGGATGATTGTCTGAGGTTGGCTAGAAAGCGTGGCGATTAATCGACATGTAATACGAGCGGAATATAGCAAAATGTAATATATCTAGAAAAATTTAATTAATCATGTTAAACGGTAAAAAGTACTAGCCATGGATATTTAAAAAAAAGTGTTTATTATAAAACTTAATACATTTCCTTGTATTAAAATAGTATCTTTTTTAATACTTACATATCTGTTTGCAAAATGAATAAAAATCATAATATCTTATATAAGATTTTTTATAGATTATAAAATAGCTATTATATTATATAATTAATAACATTTACAAAGCTCTCTTTTTCTTTCTCAACCTAATATCAGTTTTATTAAAATTCTGGACTGAGGAAAAAGATTGTTTATTTTATTGAAATCAAACAGACTCGTATTGTACATATAATACATGTATTCTGCAACGAAAAAGATAAAAATTAATTAATTTGATCAATTGAACAATTTTTTTCTGTACTAAATTCGTAAATATACTTTTGGAATGTAAAATTAAAAAGATGTATAATCAATTTAAAAAATTGAAGATGGTTATTTAAAAATGACACTAAAGAATTTATAGATTATCTCATAACCAAATTAAACAATTTAAATATTACAATTGTCTAGCTTTATATAAGTTGTGTTTTGTTATTCACTGGGAGTACTAAAATTTGTAATTCACGTTACGTACATTATAGATTTTCAGTACTCGCAGTAAATATATAACGAAACGCAGCCACAGTTTACAATAAACATGTATGTTTTTTGTTTTTGCATTATTCTTATCACTTTATACATCGTGTAAAGAAATTTCCTTCGTCAAATTAAAACGCCATCTACGCCAGCCTTGCTACCCTTTTGCCGTCCTCCTGCTCTCCCGTGACATCACTGTATCGTGTCAGTAGGTCAAAACCTGGATACGTGACCTGAGTCTAGTGTATGTGTCCGTGTTTGCTTCATGTATCTGGTGTACCAAAATTAAAGAATATTAGAAACTATGTGTATCCATATTGAAACATCATATTGTATCATAATATCATATATCAGGAAAATAATTGGTATTACTTTAATTGACAAATAACCAGCAATAAAATGTACATGTGTATTTTAAAGCATAGTTAATTTTAACCTATATGTTTTCTTATTTCGTTTGCAATTAAGAAATAGATAGAATACAATAAATTATAAATATCTTTGAATAATAAGATAAATAAAATGTCAATATGATGTATATATTGAAAACTAATTATGTTTTATTTGTGTGTGAAAATAAAGCAATTTATTATATTTCATGTTTAATAAATGGTTGATATCTTTGATTAAGTTCTTTCGATAATTTGCTTTCACAACGGAAGCTGTGCTTTGTTGCTAACGATATCATCTATCATTATGCGTGCTTTAAGATATAAAAATTATATGATTCTCGAAATTATTATTTGTAGAATTTACATTCGAAGATTGCTTCAATGTATAACTGGTTATATAAATTGATTACAGGATAGTAAAAGATTTATAGAAAATTAATTCCATAAATTGATCCATAGAATAATAGTCACAGAAAACAAACTATAATTTAATTATTGATATTTCATCAAAGATGAAAGAAATAAGTGAACTTAGTTGAAATCTATATAAATTATTATTACAATTTTATAATTGTTTTTTAGGCATGTATTTATACTACAGCTAGAATTTATCAGATTGAAATAGGAATGTTTTAGATATTTATAATATTTTATAATTTATAATTTATATTTTTTCATAATATAAAAAAAAATGATACATAAAACATGAACAACAACCTATTAACTGTATATAATATTAATATAATTAAATAACTTTTATATGATTATTGTACTTACTGTAGCATCAACTATTGTTAAAAAATTAACTATGATTTTAAATTTTCTTTTAAGATAAGATCAAGATTTATGATGTTATGATATTTTAGCGATTTACCACAATATTATTTCTCTCTACAAAGTGGAATTTTCTGTGCTTTATGGAAAGAAATTGCTAAGATGTGCATACTCATAAGTCATTTTAACCAAATGTTTTTCTTATAAATATGCTTAATATAATTCAGTCTCAAAAGCAAAAATAATCAGAATACTAACAATGCAGATCTCTTAAAGATTTTTTCCACACATACACACACACATAATCAAAACTGTTAATTAAGTCAATCTCAGAAACGTGTGAGAAATTTCCAACTAATTTTTAAATATTGATTATATAGGAATTCAGTCGTAACTTGGAGCGCAGCCTAAAGCAAATTATGGAAATAACTAATCGTTTTTACCAACGTCGTGATTACTTACACGCATTTCGATGAGTCTGCAATTGATTGTGAGGACGAACCGGTCGGACTGCCGACAAATTATCGGCATAAGCGAACGATAATTAATGAGAGAATGACGTCTACGATATCTCGATAACGAGGCTTATCATACACACTGAGAAAAGAACATCTTACGAATGAAAAGAAAGATACTTTTATCGCCGCGAGCTCGATTAACATTCCTATACAGTGTAGTGTCAGCAGCATTAATCATAAACATTTCATTCGAGTTCATCGACATTGTCTGAATGAAACATTACTTTGGCTTTATCCTGTCCTTCGCATTTAAATTAGCACATTTATTTGAATCTTAAATAGCAAATGTAACTAATGTAAAGAAATTGAAGAACATACAGTCGCGATTTATTTATACAACTTTTTAAATTTCTTTTCGCTTTTTTTTTTTCTAAAATTTATATTCTAAAATATATTTTTTGGTTAATATTCAATATAATAAGAAAATCGTAAAATACCTTCTTAACATTCACTTTAATTTTATTGTACATCGAGTTATTGAAGAAATGAGTGAACGAGAAGAGTGAATCGTGTTCATAAGAACGAACGTTACGGTATATTATTCTGCTACATTGATTTATCTCTTGCCGGTCGCGGATATGCTTTTATGTTTTGTGCTTCATGCTCTTCTAATGGGCAATAATGTGACGATGATCCGTGCAATTATTCCACTCCTTTTGGCTCGCCCTCAGTAAGGAAGGAGTAAAAACGTAACAAAGACTTCACTGCGGTTGCAGCCACTGCACTACTGACCTTGGTCTCAAGTAACGTCGCGGTCGAAGTGATTCAAGAATGGCACAGAGATTTCTAATATATACGTATAACTTCCAGTTTCACTGCATTGCAAATTTGATTGTTGATAATCTGGAGTAAAAATTTTCCTGCGACGTTGTTGGTTTTAAAAGAATCAAGTGTTCCAACGTATAATGTATTAGTATTTAAAAACTTTATAATGTTAACTCTATATTGACTCTTGATTAGTTTGTTTGTCCGTGTTTCATACGTATTTCTTTTTATTGTAGAATTTGATAAATATGATTTAAATACAAGATTCTTAAATAACATGAAACTATAACTAATATCTTTTCTTCATTCTTAAAAAACATGTTTTACAACTGAAATACTAATATTCTCATGTGTGTGCATTTGCTGCACCCCCCATTAATCATATAAACCTTTGTTCAGACAATGATAAAATTTGCAAGCCGCATGTAAGTCATATATACATATATGTATATACTATGTTATCCCACAGCCGTCTTTTTAACCGTCATATCTTTGTAGTTGGAGCAAGAACTTTGTCCGGAATAGTGTTATACCTCGTAAAGATAGCAACTGCGAGAGGAACGCGGTTCTCCACGTGCACGGTTAAATCGTCGCGGAAGGATACGTAGGTGGTTACCGAAGGACCAGGTGGGGTACCAGGAGAACAGACAGTCGCTACAGCATGAGAATGGAAAGGAGAAAGGAAGAAAAGAGAATCCAGGCAGACCGGGCCACAAGCGAATGCGGTGAGTAAAATGCGGCAACGGGGAAAAGAGGGAAACACAGGGAAGGAACGAAGACAGAGAAAGAGAGATTCATGGTGGGGTTGTTGCAGCTGAAGCCTGAAGCACGTGGGCCCTGCTCCGTGTGTCTCGTTCGGTAGTGCTCTCAGTAGTGCTCTCAGCTGCCCGTGGAGGATCTCACACCGGATATCCGTCGCGAACTTAACGCGTCCACCGTGGCTGTTGAGGATGTGACGACTCGTACAGTTGTTATCAGGACATCGCGCAGTCATCATAAGTTTTTGAAGAGCCGAACGATGACTCTGAAGATACTGCTGGTGAGCTTGCTTATCGCAGCCACGATCTGCTCTGTTCTATCGTCGTCGGAGGATCATCATCGAGTACTCTTGCGCAACCATAGAATAGTTTTGCCAATTTGGTACCACGACAGATTACCTCATGCTAGGCACGATCGCCTTAATGACGAACGCATCGTCCGAGAAACAACAACTACTACTACGAAAAGTCCGTGGACGTTGCGACCACAGGTTTCTACGACAAGATCATCGCAACAGTTAAATTCGGCATCGAGGCATATGGAGCAGCGGATGTTGGAACAAAAGTTCAATGGTGTTGTGGCTATGGCGGAAAACGGTGGTACCAGGGCGATAGCATACGCGGGTTATCACGGCAATCATCGGCATCAATCAAGGGAGATGGGCACACAGGGCTTTCAGCCGATTAGCACAACTGTCCCCACATACACTAGACATCATTCAGGGTAAGTATTGGATGAAGTTACAATTTAGAATATAAGATTGGAAATTTATGGAAATGTGATGTAAGATAATCAATCTTTTGCGAATACATCATCGGAATCTAGAATGCCCAAACTTCAAATGGCTTCATTCAAAATTAGATTATGACTATCTGATCAATTTTAACCCTTATATGATATATGATATATATATGATTAGGTCATTCGTATCATGTGCATTTCTTTTTTTTTAATACCAGTATACTAAATAATTAATTATAACTTTTATATACACATTTCATATACAACCTTAGAAAAATCTACTTTTTAAAAATGTTGAAACATATGTAAGAATCACTTAATAA